CAGGTTTCCTTCCAGAAGTGCTCTCGCCGGAAAATTGTCTTGCCACGTCGTATAGGCCCTATACGGAAAAAAACACGCCGCTTTGTTACGCTTGCGCCGGAAAATTGTCTTGCGACGTCGTGTAGGGCGTATAGGGGAAAAAGTGCCACTTTGTTTCGGCAGATGTTCCTTCCAGAATCCAGAAATATGTCCTGCAACGTCGTATAGGGCCTAAAGTGACAAAGCGCCACCGTGTTACAGCAGTTCTTCCTTCCAGAGCCCTAGGCATAGGCCCTAGCCGCTTTGATGCAGACCCCTATACATTTGCCCCTTCCCTTTTTCACTGTAGACCCCCCATGCATACACAGATCCCCATCCGTTTTCCATAGACGCCTACCCTTTTCTTGATAGACCGTGCCTCCAGAAGTAGAGATCGGTCAAGAATCTTAACACAAGGTTTGTGTGTGTGTGTGTGTGTGTGTGTGTGTGTGTGCGCGTGGTGATGTGCTGCTGAAGCGAACAAAGAATGAATGTGCTTAGATTTTACGGCGAGCTTTCCTTCCAGAAGTGCTCGCGCCGAAAGCATGATCTTACCGTGTCGCATGCCACTTGGTTACGGAATGGCAGGTTTTCCTTGCAGAAGCGCTCGTGCCAGAAAATAATCTGGCCATGTCGTATAGGGCCCAATGGAAAACAAGCGCCCCGCTTTGTTGCAGCTGGTTTCCTTCCAGAAGGTGCTCGCGAAGAAACAGCGCCACTTTGTTACGGCAGGTTTTCCTTCCAAGAATGCTCGTGTCGGCAGGTTTTCCTTTCAGGAATGTTCGCGCCGGCAATTTACCTTGTCATGTCGTATCGGGAAACACGAGCGACGCTGTGTTACGGCAGGTTTTCCTTCCAGATCTTCCAGAAGTGCCCGCGCCGGAAAGTTATCTTGCCATGTTATCTTACCATGTCGTATAGGAAAATGCAACACTTTGTTGTGGCAGGTTTTCCTTCCAGAAGGGCATGCGCCGGAAATTTATCCTACCATGTCGTCTAGGCGTCAAAGTTTCGCTTTTTTACGGCAGGTTTTCCCTTGCAGAAGTGCTCGCGCGGGACATTTTCTTGCCATGTCGTATAGGGCCTCATGAAAAAACAACGCCATTAGGTTACAGCAGTTTTTCCTGCCAGGTCTTGCCCACGCTGGAAGTTTATCTAGCCATGTCGTATAGGGAGAAGTGATACATGGGTACTTTCCAGATTCTGACTCCAGGCCTCGAAAGTGGGAAGGCAGGGACGGCGAGGGACAGCGAGGATGCTTGTGCACAGCATCTCAGAGGCGCAGTTTGTGCGTGGTTTGCAGGCCCTTCCCGGTGTCACCGTCAATGGACTTCAGCTGATCAAAAGGCGGATGCTCGAAGGGGTAGAAGGGCCGAAGGGCCGGAAAACCTTCCCCACGCAGGTCGCTTCACGTGGCCATCGACGTGGCACCACGCCATGGCCTTGAAATATTTCGTGGAGCGCATTAGCTCTGAACAGCTCTGAACCGCTGAACCGCTCTGAGTGCTGAGATCTGGCGTTCGACGCGGCCCTGAAGCTCCTCGGCCTGCCAGAGGCAGCGGCCGCCAAGGCGAGAGGGCTCTGCTAAGACACTGCAGGAACACTATCAAGTTCTTCTGAGTTGCGTTTGGAGGAATGCAGTGGAACCAGTGGAGATGAGTGCAATCGCTTCTCCCTAATACGAATCCCCCCAAAACAAATGCCTGACATTGGGCACGGCCTGAAACTATTTATGTTTAGGGGGAGTTGGATGTTGTGTTCGCAGCTGCTCCAGAACCTTCCCCCCTTAACTGCCTAGCAGTTTGCTGTTGGTCTGATTGGGATCGGATCCGGGACAATCATTATATGAACTTAGGGGCGTTAGCAGTCAGGGATTCCAAAACCAGGTGAGAGAGGCGCAGACTCTCGTGGACTCCGAGGCGCAAGCCATTGAGTTCAGAGTTGTCGCGCCCCAAACAGCTGAAGAGGAGGGACCCCTCATCTGCTTCGAGAAAGGGATTCTCTCGCAGCAGTACTCTGACAGTTGTATCCAATGCATCTCCCTTTTGGAAGTGTGCCGACGTGGATGATGTGAAGTGCAATCTGGGACTTGTGGAGTTAGTCAGTTGTCTCCCATTGATCTCCCATTCGTTTTGTTTTGAGACGTGTGCAGAGCTTGATGTTGCAAGATCTGTTTGGACGAGCTAAGTGTTGTGAGTTTGTCTCTGGGACTTGTGGGTTCACGTGTCTCCCACTTGTGAAGCGTGCAGACATGGATTCTGTGATTTGGGGCCTCGGAGAGAGCACTAGCCTCGTGGTGAATGCGTAACGGCCTGATCCGCAGCCTGATCCACAAGGCAAACGACCAGACAAACAAGATCAAACAAGCAAACACAGACACACGCGTTGAATTCTCTCCGCCTAGACTTACACATTTTACAGGGTTCGCGCGCGATAAGGATAAAATCGGAGGCTCAGGCCCCTAAATTCAGCCGCTTAGATTTTTATCCTGAGGCACCTGGGGCTGCGCCTGCAGGTTTTTGTCCTGCTCATGGTGGTTTGCCAATCCAAAGTCAGATCGATGCTGAACATGTCGCTCGCAGGGTCAGGCCTCAGGATTGTATCCCAGTCGTGTGGTTGAGGCCTTTTCTCTTGTGTGTCCGAGTGCAATGATTCTCCAGGGCTCAAGCCCGAAGATTTTGCTTTCTGCAATGGGTCAGGCCCCAGGTCTTGATCCAGATAAATTCCCTGGGCCTGACCCTTCTATGCATGTCCACCTTCTGTGACATTTTGCACATTGGAGCGAAGAGCACCAAGGCAGATGCGTTGTCCAGGGCTCCACTCATGCATCTGGCTCTGCTTTGGCATTTGAAAGAGCCCAACAAACGGCGGGGCCATGGTGTCCAAACAGGCCAGATGAGTGCGTGGGCCCTAGAGAATATATTTGCGGTCGATTTGGGCATGTGAGTGCCTAGCCAACAACGGTACTATTCTGGGAATTTCTGGCTCCTCGAGAATGCGTCTGTCTCCGTTTAGAAGAGGTAACGAGTACTTGCTTATTATCTGGGTTTGTTTGTCGTGTGAAGCGGAAACACAGCGGGACCACTGGGCAAGCGCAAGACAGATGCATGTTCTGTCGGTTGTGAAAACGTTTCTGCTGGTGCCCGCCTGGGTCTTCGGGTACAAAAAGCCCGACCAGCAGTGGGAATCTCTATTCCGGCGGTGGACAATGGATTTGTTTTGTTTTTGAAGAGGTAGCTACCTGGGTTGGTTCTGGAATGGGAAGAGAAAGCAAGGATGGCGAGCGCGTTTCCTTATTTCGGCTACGTGTATAGACTCGACCAGCGCAAAGCGTCTCTGCAAGCGCTTGGGTGCCTGATGCATAGAGGGATGCCGACACGCCGAGAGGCGTAGAGGCTCAGAGGCTTACAGAGGTATGACAGTGTGCCAGGGCCAATAGTGCAGGCTTAGAGGCTTCTAGAGAAGCGTGACTCCAAGGGCAATGATCGAGTGAAGGGTTTAGGGGCTTTTGAGGCTCACATGGGCGAAGCTCTAACAGAGGCTTGAATAGAGACATAGCAAAAGATCTGCGCGAAAGCAAACGCTAAACGGGGGGAGTTTCGCGACGACTGCCTTGGGCTCTTTGATTCTCTCACCATTCTTCTCCAACACGCTGGGTGATTGCCGGAGTTTTTGCAGGCTGTGCGCGAGCTTGGGCGCGACGCTGACGAAGCATGTTTGGCCATGAGCCGAGTGCAGGCTACCATGTTCATCCAAGAACGAAGAAGTATCCGATTTCAAGGTCCTGGCAATGTTGCACGAGATCGACTGCTCGGCCTTCGTACGTCTCGAGGCAGAGAGGATCGGATGTGATCGGGAAGTAGGAGACGAGTGAGCAACGTCTCTCTCTCTCTCTCTCTCTCTCTCTCTCTCTCTCTCTCTCTCTCTCTCTCTCTCTCTCTGTGTCTGCGCGTGTGTGTGTGTGTGTGTGTGTGTGTGTGTGTGTGTGTGTGTGTCTGTGTGTCTGTGTGTCTGTGTGTCTGTGTGTCTGTGTGTCTGTGTGTCTGTGTGTCTGTGTGTCTGTGTGTCTGTGTGTCTGTGTGTCTGTCTGTGTGTGTGTGTGTGGGTGTGTGTCTGCGTGTGCGTGGAGGCGACGTTGTCTTCGGGCTTTGCAGCGCCGGCTCGGGTCCCGGAAAGACACCTCGGCGTCGTTGTGAGACTCAGAGATGCTGACTCAAAGGTCCGTTTTCTTGTAGTGCTGGCGTGCAGCAGGCGGGCGATTAGAAGGGGACAAGCCTTTTCGCTATTGATTGTGTTTTCTGTGGTCAGTGTGCTGACTCATTGCCATGTCATGCCAGTCCTTGGAACCTGGCGGATTTGGCGAAGACCATGGCGACCATCTTGGCTTCCGAGGAATTTGGATGAGCAAGCGCCAAAACCCCAGCCATTCAAGTCAGTAAGGGGTGGACACGAGTGCCCAAAACCCTGTAAAGCGATGGGAACACTTGAAAAGCGACACCCCTAAGTTAATGAGCCGTTGGGTGTGCTACAGCCTTGATTTTTCCCAAAGCGACACCTGCAGACATCAAGCGTGGATGATTGATGCCAAGACCCTGTACAACGATGGGAACCCTTGGAAAGCCAAAGCCTTCATGTTGCGTCCATTAGCACCACCAGCCGGTTTTGGCAGTCGCTCATATGGTTTTCGACCACTGCCTGGCGAGGACACTTTTCGCACCCTGCTTCGAGCGGAAGATGCTTCAGCTGTTGTAGCTGGCATCCACGGCCGGCTGGATGAGATCGTTCTGCTGTGGCCTTAAACTACCCTGCAAAACGCTGTGAGAAGGAAGGCGTGGGAGTAGTATGTTGAGACGCTTGCTAGGATGTTGAGACTCTTGCCGAGGCTGCCCCATGCCCCGCGCCAAGAGGCTGGCTTCCGCCCTGTGAGACACAACCGGCATGACCCGCAGCCACATACAAAAAGAACATGTCGCTTCCTCGAGGTGGCAGCGGCAGCTGCACCGGTCTTCTACTGCGAGGCAGGGTTCTGATTTAGAAACGATGGGATCGGTTGTTGGGCTGTTCAGCATCTCTTGGTTCTTGGGGGTTTCGCGTTTTTGAACCCTAGGATTTGTAGTGGGGGTTGAGGCTCCAAGAGAGCTCTTGGAATGGGGGCTCAGCTGACGTTCGCAGCCAAGACATTGGGATAAAACATCGACGTGGGTGTGTGTTCAGCTGCTTTTGACTTTAGCGCGGATCCTCTAGTATGACTTCGTTCTGGGAGGGCGGAAATCTTTGTTTGGCAAAAATCACAGTTCCGCAATGAAGTGCTATCGACAAGCCTTGAGCAGGAGTGCGGAACCGAGCTCCTCACAGACGGTCGCTGTCCGCGCTGTGTTGCGCTCAGATTTTTTTGTTGCGCATGCACGTGCGTCTTGGTCCGAAAGTGTAGGGATGGTGTAGATGTTGGTGGGGCTGAGCGTGTATGTTCCACGTTGCAGATCGTAGTTTATGGCGTTCCGGGCAAGCCCCGAGCTGAGCTATAGTTCGCGGTCGGGGTAGAAGTGGGGGTTGAGAGCGTAACCTTATCGCCAGCGTAGCCTAAGCATCTCGCTTGTGGAGCAACGGAGGAGAGCTGACGCTTTGACGCGTGGTGTCCCGAGTTGAGTGGGTCTATAGGGCTTACGTCCCAACCTCTCAACATACAAGCCTACCGCTCACAGCAGTTCTGCTCCGGGCAGGCTGCGGCCTAGAGCTCAGGGTTTTGGTTTCGGGCTTCTCAAGGGCCGAAGATTTCAGGCTTTCTAAGGTCCCTCCCCCAAACAAGTTGGGCCTGGGCCTGGAACCCGCCAAAACAACCACCCCGAAAATTCATTTAGGGGCGCACAAACCTTTTGGCACTGTTTGGCGCGTGAGGGAGTTGCTAATCAAACGTCCACATGTTTTCGGCTTGAGGTTGAAACCATGGGGTGCAAGCCGGGAAGCCGGAGCAAAAGCCTTCCCATTCTGTAGATGTGCAACCAGCGCTCAGATTGCCCAAGTTTGAGGCACTATCGGCCAGATTTTTGGCGACCAGCCCGCCACAGTTCGCCGGGCATGTTACAGCTTGGCCCACCATGTGCAAGACCATAAACAAGTTTCGGAAGACTCTAGGACCCTAAGAGGTTCACGAAGGGGTCATGAGTCTTGGTGGTAGGGCCTACAGAGTTTGCGGTTAAGAAGTTAAGAGATCAAGGTTCAAAGTGACGTATCCCTGAGGGTCTGCAAAGCCATTCTTGCAGCAAAGCTGACGGGTCTCCCGGTTTTTCTGCGGCTCCGAACAATGGGGAGGTAAGGATGCGAATCTGGAGGGCAAGAACTGAGCCGTGCGAATCCGGTGCGCAAGCCCACCCTGCCAGGCATTTCGTGGACAAAGCTGGCTCTGGGGCTGAGGCCGGGAATCACAGAAAATGTCATGAAACCAGGGTTTCTCCTGTATCAGTTGCGTCAAAGTATGCATTGAGTCTTTCAAGCAAGGTTTATGGTTTATAGTTTATGATGGTTTCTGATTTACGGAGTTTAGGGTTTAGGAGAGGCGCTGATACCAGCGTCGAGCCGAAGCGTGAGAGGGAACCCAGCCGTACCTCCGGCTACAGTAACCCTATGATTGAGGTCGATGGACCATTTGGCAGCTCTCGAAGCACCCTAACGCCTAATCAACGAGTTGCAGGATGCGAGGGCTTGATAGGCAATAGGCCGGCAACTGGAGATGTCTACCCTGAGGCAGAATTTCGGATGCAAGCCGCTGCTTGTGGATCATGCTTCCTAAGTCCCCAAACCATCGGTGACAGCCTTTGCTGCCCAAGGACCTCGACAGCGCCAGACTTCCGAACCCTAAGCCCCCCTAATCCCTACAGACCCTAAGCATGTCACTTCGTCGCAACGGGGTGCACATTTCTTCTGTTCATGACTGGCTCCTCGAAGGTTGACCAGCAGTAGCCGTGAGATGTCGTAAGCTCTTGTCTGGTCCGTACACGGGTAATTGTGTGGTGGAGATGACGCGAAGGAAGCGCCTGGCTAGTACATTTCTCCCAAGATGGTATTGAAATTGTTTCCCAACCAAAAAGGCACTCTTTCAAGACATTATGGTAGAGCTCTTGTCATCTAGCGGTTAGTGCTAAATTTCTTTGTACCACGGGCCTTGTTCTTGCACTTCGCTCACGTACCCAAATTACGAAGATAAATCGCATGACAAGTGCACTAGAAAGGGTTCAGGTCTTAGGGCTTTGGGGTTTGGGCTCAGCTTCAGGGTTCGGGGTTTAGAGCGTAGAGTAACCCAAGACCCTAAACCCTTTGCAGGAGGAGAAGGCCTCGAGAATGGCTTGTGGCTCAAAAGGCCTTGGGATTTGGGGGGTGGTAGGTGTGTGGGCCGGGGGTTTGGTGTATGGTGTGGGGGTTAGGGTGTGGTTCCCCCTTCAGCTCCTCAACCCCTCAGGCCACCCCTGCCACTTGGGCCGTTTCTTTTAAATGGGGTGGTTGCGCAAAAACTGAAACAAACCTAAAGCCTTAAAGCCTTAAGGCCCCATAACCCCTCAACCTAACTTGCTTGAGGTCACGAGCCCAAGCGGAGGGACGCCCTATTAAGGGGGCTTAGGGGGTGTTGGGCTGTAGGGTTTAAGTGTCCCAGGGTTGGGGGAAGTTCGGGTACAGAATCGTTGTGTTAAGCAACCCCTTAACCCTCAACCTCTCCAACCCTAACCTACACCCAAATCTAAACCCTAATTGAACCCTAAACCCTAAACCTGAAGCCCCAACGCAAATCTGAACCCTAAAGCCCTGAAGCCCTGAAGTCGCTGTTCCCAGCTCGCCCCAACACCCCAAACTCCAAAGCCCTGGAGTACTTCTCCTTACGAAATACAGGGCTTAGGCTTTAGGGTTTGGAGTTGGGGTTTGGGGGTTGGGGTTTGGGGCTTGGGGTTTGGGTTTGGGGGTATGGGGCCAAGGAAGTGGACTTTTGCCCCCTACTTGGCGGCCGGGCTGCTACTGCGCTACACCCTTAAACCCTTTACCATCCTGTACCTTGAAACCCTAGACTCCAAACGCCTAAACCCGGAAGCCCTGAGACCTTAAACTCTACACAGAAAGAACCATACTCTACGTAAACGCCTTGGGCCGCTTGTTACTGGGCCGCTTCCTGTGCGGCGATGTCATGAACAAGGGACTAACAACAAACTTTTTGGCGCAGTTGGTTTGCTTATTGGTGCGTTTTCGCTTACTGTGTGCGGTTGTTCTGTTTTGTTGGTGCGTCTTCGCTTTGCTTACTGGTCTGTCTTCACTTGCTGCGCGCTTGTTTTGCTGATCGGTTCGTCTTCGCTCACTATAGCAACGGTTTGGCTTAGCGGTGCGTCTTTGCTCTATCATAACATGCGCTTGTTTGGCTTGTTGGTGTGCCTTCGCTTACTATGTGCGGTTGTTTTCCTTATTGTTGCTCCTTCGCTTACTTTTGCTTGTTGGTGCGTCTTCGCTTGCTATGTGCGGTTGTTCTGCTTAGTGGTGCGTCTTCGCTCTGTATATACGCTTGTTTTTCTTATTGGTGCATCTTCGCTTACTACGTACATTTGTTTTTGCTTATTGGTTGGTGATGGTGGGTAGTGGTGTGTATGGTGGAATGGTTCGTCGTGGTGGGTATTGCTGGGTAATGGTGGGTAATGCTAGGAAATGGTGGGTAATGGTGGGTATCGGTGGCAATGGTGGGTAATGGTGGGTAGAGGTCAGCCGAGGAAAACGCGCTCCGTTTTGGGCGTCCAGGAGAAGGGTCTGTGGTTTCAGGGCTTCCGGGTTTGGCTTGTGCGTTAAACGTCTAGGAGGCTGCAGTTTCTGTTTTTGGGGCGGAGGGGGAAGTGTAAGGAGGTGAAGGCCGCATCCATGTTATCGAGGCCGGCATTCTATACGGGATCTTCTCGGACTACCTCGGGTTCACTTTGCTCGCTGCTTGATCGACTTTTGAGGCATGAAACCAATTCGTCGCCTTCTGCTCCTAGAACAAAGGCGTGCTTCCTTTTCGTGTTTTCCCTGCACGACTTGAATGGCCCTTCGAGACGAACATGTTCGCAAGCTCATGACATGAACTTAATGATGAGAAAGAGGAGAGAGAGTGAGAGAGTGAGAGTGACGAGAGAACGGGTTTTTGTAAGCCGCAGTATCAACAGGCTGAGCTTGCGAACGTGGTCCCTCGATGTAGGGCTTTGATCTCTATAGTAGAGACCCGCACAGCTTCCTCGTGCGACCCTTCTGTCACACCCTTCGGGCTTTGACAGAGGTGTCAACCCGCCTGCGCTTCTGGGTTGAAGGTTTGCAGCTGGGTTGTTTCTAAGACTCGGGTTTAAGGCTGAAGGTTTTGGGCTAAGGTTTCGGGATTTGGTCTAAACTCTGATCCCTCCCACAGTTCACCCTCTTATTCGTCGTCCAGGGGGGTTCAGACTCGTAGGCTCAAGCACCTGAGAAGGGGCTTGCGCTGGCCCACGCCTCTGACTTGTTTCGACACAGCTGTTTCACGTGTCTCGAGGCTTCTTGGGGTCGTGTAGATCGGCTTGCGCGTCAGATCAGAGTCCCCCGACCCTCTAGAGGCAAAAGGGCATGGGCATATAATGACCAACCAAGAGACCGATTGGGGCTTGGGTTTGTTGGCGCTGAGCGTTGTGATGTTGAGAGGCTGTCCAGGCAAGCTGAGTTTGAAAGAGTTTGAGGCGGGTTTGGAGCTTAAGAGTTACATTAATTGCAAGAGGTTTGGGGGGTTAGTTTGGAGCTTACCCTGTACGTGTTTCTTGGAGGGCTGCGTTGCGAAGTTTGGGCCTTTCAACGCCTAGTTCAGAGTTCAGGGTCTCCTTTTGTCTTGCATTTGCTGCTAGATTGCATTTCATCTGACGTTGCGGCTCCAGGCTGTTAGGGCGCCGGTAGGGATAAAAGGATAAGCTTAGGGTTTATACGGTTTGCAGTTTGGTTTGAGTAGGCATGCAGTGCACGATCGGCCCATGGAGGAATCGGATTGCCAGCATCTTGCCTTCGCCAGTAAAACCACAGCTTCGCCAGTAAAACCACAGATGATTTCGGGATTCCTCGGTTCATCGTTTGAGAAAGAGCCCCTCTTCACACGAGGTGCAGTTGTGTCGCAGCCATGGGAGCTGGAGCAACTGTCGCCAGCAATGTCATGTCATCCATCAGGCCGTTTCCAGGGCTTCGGCTTTTGAAGTGGTATGGCACCGCTCGCACAGTAGGGGCTTTCCGGTTTATGCGCACCAATTCCGACAACTGAAGCAGAGCCAGGTGTCTCTCGAATTGATCGGGAGGTGTCATGTTTCGAAGATCCTAAACTCCGTGCGCAAGAACGACCTCTGGCTGCACAGGTCCAAGACGATGAGTCGAGCCGTCTCCTCCTTCGGGCGATGGCCTGGTCCCGTGTAGGGTTCAGGTTTCAGGGTTCAGGGCTTAGGGCTTAGGGCTTCGGGGTTGTTGCAGGACTTCCAGCTCAAATCAGGTGAGATTTTTTTGTGCTGAGATGTACCACGGAGATTGTCACCGTGCGCATTGCGCGACATAAAGTCCTCAATTATGATGTTTGTTTCTCTTGTTGAACCTCAACACATGTTGGGTCGAAATCCCTCTGCCCAAGCGTGACCATAGATAGTTTGTGCGGAAGGACGAAGTCACTGATGCCTGGGACTTCCTAGCTTTTCCTGCGCTGACCTTTTCAGTCCTAGATGCGGGCGCTCAGCCAGGGTTCAGCCCTAAACCCCCCAAAACCCCAAAGCCCTGTAGGTCTTTCGGAATTCATGAGCATCGCGGAAAAACCTTGGGTGTGAAGGGGGGGGGGGTCTTGAGAGTACCTCTAAGACCCCAAACCCTAGAATGCAGAAATCCGGCCTGTAGGAGTTTTGGCAGTTGGGGATCTGATCCCTCTCGGGCTGCCGAGGACGCAGAGTCGCGCCGAGCCTGTGGAGGACCTGATGCAGTCGCGGGTGGAGGTGCTTCGCGCCGTCCCAGCTGGAACCACTTCTGAGAGTTCAGGGCACAACTTGCCAACCGACCCACCTTCTGTAAGCCTACAACCCCGGAGGCCTTGGACCCTACGGCCCCAACCCGAATCTTTTTCCAAACCGTTTTGCCCATGGATTCCAGGCGCCCGCCACGATCATCGACCTCACTGGCATTGAGAACCTGGGGTGTCCTGAGTCCTGGGGTTCTGGGATGTTGGACTTTGCAATTTTCGGTTGAATCCCTCGGCTTGAGGCCAGTTGCCAGCTTCTCAAGCCTGAACCTTACACCCCAAGCCCTTTAAACGCTGCGATTGCTCCGCCCAGAGGCTGTTCAATGTTTCTCAACTTCGCGCGCCTTCACGTTGAGGGCTTCTGTTTTTTGGCTTTAGTTTTTTTTTTGTGTGGGGGGGGGGGGAGAGTTCAGGGTTTAGGGCTTAGGGTGTTTAGGGCTAGGGAATAGGGAGGTTGCGTCTGTCAGAATTAGAGGTCGGGCGGTTGGCGATGGGTGCCAGGTACATCGCCGATGTGTACATGTTTGCCGACAGCTTGATCGGGCGGTCGATGAACACCCTGGTGCCGCTGGGTTTAGGGTGTAGGGTTTAGGGTTGCGCGGTTGTCCTCAATCCGCTGAGGGTGGAAGTTCTTTTCGGGCCGCTTGGATGTGTGGACTTGGGTGTGTAGGTCTCAGGCAATCTGCGGATCTTTGCACAAGCGGCTGCCAACTTGAGTGGTTCTGAGCATACATTGAATCAGGTTTCTGAGTTCCAGTGCGCATTCGTTTCGTGCGACCTCATGTTGCTCGTCGGAGATGGTACGTATCGTACGCTGGAATCTTGGCCCCAGACCTGTAATTTGCCTCTGTTGTCCTTCACTATGAGCCGCTTTCCGAATACGCCTGCGAACAAATTCCTACAGTCTGAAGCTGTCACACCAGGACCTGTTCAGCTTGTGCTATTGTTCTTGAGCCAAAGAACCACCCACACACTGAGGAGCTCGGAGCCCTGAGTCACTGGTGACCCCACCAACCCCCCCTACCAACCCCCTTTCTACCACCCTAAACCCTAAACCCTCATACCAACCCCCCATACCATCTCCTTCCGTCCCTCTCTCCCCAAACCCTAAACTCTGAACCCTAAACCCTAAACCCTAAACCCTACACCCCTTCACATTTCCCCACCCACTTGGCTCTCGCCAGGTTCGCCTGTCCACGCACAAGTTGACGGGCTCGGCCAGGGCCATCAAGCAGCCGGGGCCCTACAAATCCTAAACATCCCTAAGCCATAAATCCCTAAACCTGCTTGGGGACCGCAAGGACGTCAACGGGTTTTGAGGAACTGCAGGTTCAGGAGTAGCTTGAGGTCAAGCCTCAGGGGAAGAAGGCTATCACCGCTGCTCGAAGTCAATCAGCACCCCCAAGCCCATAGCCATACACTGATGCACTGGAAAGCCCGCAGGCCCAAAAAGCCCTTTATGAAAGATCCTAAACACCACAAGCCCTAAGGTCAGTGTTAGGCAGTGCCGGTGCTTGATATCACAAGCCTTTTCATTAACTAGCCCGACGCTCTAAAACCCTAAGCTATTAACCGCAGAGTTTCTACCAGGTACACCTTGAATGTGCCGGGAGTCAACCTCGAGGCTCTCAAGCGTGAGGCGGGGAAGGTCTAGGGTTTAGGTGTCTCAGCGCTCAAACCCTTCAAGAGCTCTTGAAGGAATATCCCCCTCTGACTCCTTGTAGGGTTCTTCGCGTAGTTTAAGGCGCATTTTTGATGAAGGGGTTTGTGGAAAGTTCCGGGTAGGGATTCCCAATCCCAAAGCCTCAATTTTCAAGCGCTGGAACTAGGCAGGACATGACATTGTTTTTTTACACTTGTCTCCCTTTGTCTCGCTTCAAGTTGGATGGGTCTGCGGGTTTGCCATGGCTTGTGACTCCACTTGTCCCCCTTTGTCTCCCTTTGTCGTCCTTTGTCCCCCCTTTGTCAGGGGCTGCCGGGTGGAGGAAGAAATGGTACAGCCGCCTTCAACCCTTTTGCCCTTCCTTCCACGAGTGCTCGGGCAGGCGTCTTGCAGGATCACAGCTTCCATGACTTCGCACACCGCACTTCATCAACAACTGAAAAGCATCACTGCGTCACCGCATCACGTTCGTTGTACCTGCTAGTGGTGTCTGCTAACGCCATCTGCCCGACTCAACGATTTTCATGGCTCCGCCTTCCTCCAAGCATTTTTACATGCGACTGCGGCCGCAGATATTCATGCGGATCGCTGGAATCCGCTCGGGTTACCCAGCATCGCTGCCAAAGCAACCACGTGGAAGATGAGGACATCACGCTGCCGACGGGGTCGGTTGGCATCAACAACATTCTGTGGGTGATGCTGTCGCATCATGCCGCGCGACACCATGCCACCAATCTGCGATCTCAGCTTATAAAGCGTGGAGTGCCCAAAAGGCTGCTTTTGGTCAAACAGGGCTTCACACATGGTAAGATCAAAGATGGCAAACGCCATTTGCGGTATAATGAGATGACCATGTACTCCTTCTTTTATCGTTGGTTGCCAGCAGTGGCCCATTTTCTGCAAGGCGCGCGCTCAAAAATTCGCTGCATCATGTATGTAGAATGCACAGCAAGGTGTGCATTCCCACACGTCCGTAGCATCCTGCCCTTGCTGAATAAGAAGGACAACAGGCCAATCAAGTGGCTGGGCTTCAGGAAATGGCATCCTCCCAAACCACAGAGGCAGCGGCATGCACACCCAGTCTTCGAGGGATCCAAGTTGATCGCCTTCACTCGCTCATCCCTAGTGCGGGTTCGCAACCAGCTGAAGAAGCACAAGCGCCTTGGCCATCTGGATCTCTGGATGAGCAAGGTTCTGAAGCCTGACGAGTTCTTTGCCCCGGACACCTCCTTAACCTTCTCTTGCCGCCACACTTCCGTGTGTGGTGGAAGTGAAGCTGGCCCCATCAAGCGTGCCAGAGAAGCCCCTGGGAGGCAGTCCATGAATCACTGAGGACACTTTTTCATCATCCCTGCCCGCGTCGACGTTATTCTGGAGCCACCGCAAAGCGAAATTCTTGTGGATTGATCCAAGCAATGCTGAGCATGTAAAAACAGCCCATTGTGTCGCGGAACCCTGCAGTTGTCTGCAGTCTCTGGTTTAGGCCGCCGGCCCTGCAGTCTCTAGTTAACGGCTCCAGACCTTTGCAGTCTTTGCTTTAGGGCTCTAGACCCTGCAATCTCTCGCTCGTTTAGGCCGCCCTCAGCCCAAGTGTTGATCGGCAGCCGATTTCTAAGAGAAAACCCACGTACCTCGCAGTCAGGTTTCTTAATTTATGGAATGTTTTTGTTTGTTTGAGTTCTGGGGCTTAATTGATGGAGTTCTGGGCTGGGGTTCTTAACTGAGGGAAGTTTACATCATTACACCTTGCACTGCAAACCCCAAGCCACCGAAGGCAAAGACGCACGCTACGGGCTAAGGGTTTAGAGTTTCGGGTCTTAACCGTGAGCATGTAAAAACGGGGAGCCGAACGGCCAGCTCAACAAATGGACTCATTTGCATCCCGGTACGAGTGCACACAGCAAAAAGCGGCCGTAACAAAGTGGCGCTTTTTTCCAAAATAGCTTGTAGCTCATGTGGTCTTGGGCCTTCTGTGCATATGACTCGGACAGGCAATCTCAGGCTAGCAATCTTCTTGTTTTTATCAGTGCAAGGAGGTGGGTGGGGCGGGGTGGGGGGTGGCAAAACGCTAAACGGCACAGGGCAGCTCCGTTTGAACACAAACCCAACCCTGTTGCCCTGAACCGTGTATCTTGCGGGGTGTCAAATTCCAGCTAACCCACCCACACAGGTCCACACCCCCGCAGCGCATTGTACAGACAATCCCGCGGAGACACCTGGACCTCTACCTCTACCTCTAGCAGAAAATTCTTCAAAGCGCAAGTTTGCCTTCAACTTTCAAACTTACGCCTGAAACCTTAAACTGTAAACCCCCAACCGCCGAAGGCCTCGCGAAATTTTCGTGGTGCCACAAGAAACGTGCCAGAAACGTGCCGCTGTGTCATGGGGTTTACATACTCTTGATTCCTCCTCCTTCTGAGATCTTATTTATTATCTCAACTTTCCGGTCTAAACTGTTTGGGGGGCTGGTGTAATCTTTCAACGGCATTTTCGCTCTTAGATAGGGTCTTATCCTGTCTGGCTGTTCCATGTTGTGCAACTATTGGTGAGCAATGAGTTCTGGCTGCCCAGTCCACCCTGAAATATCCTAATAATAAGGGTTAGGTTTAGGAGGTGTTGATGGAGTTCCGTCATCCTTTGGCGGAGAGGTCATGCTGTTCAAAGATGTGCGGGCCCACCCGAACATCGTCAGGCGCTGCTTTCACAATTGGTTTATCTGATCTCATGGAATATGTTTTTTTTTTTCATTCCTTTTCATATCTCAGTCAAGATGTTGGGGTCACCCTGCAGAGGGCCTGACTTAGACTTAGCCTTATCCTTTTGCCTGCCAGGATGCACGAGACCTTCAAGGACAAGCTGAACTTCTACGTCGTCTTCGAGCCCCGCGCCAAGCCCTAAACCCTGAACCCGAAGAAACCCTAAAGTCACTTTGCAGCCCATACGGCTTCCACAAAATGCCCCAAAACCCCGGAAGACCTTCAGGAGAGACTTGGTTTCATTCTGCTTTCGGAAGAAGTAGGGTATTAAGGTGCAGCGTTTCGGGTTTGGGGCAGAAAGGCGTGTCCCAGGTGCATTACACGAGCCTGCTGTGGGGTTCCGGGCTTAAACCCGCAAACCCCTCCAAGCCTCCAAACCCCTAAACCAGACATTTCACGTGCGCTTCACGAGCTTAAAACCTCAAAGCCCTAAACCCTGAACCTTAAAACCCCAAACCCAGAAATTTCCCGAAAGCCCTGAAACCCTGAAATCCCCCCAAAATCCCTACACTCCCCAACCTCTGAGGCTTTGCGAGGGATTGCGGCTCTTCGACCACATCCTGGAGGCGGAGACCCACACGGAGCAGGACTGTTGGGGTTGGCTCTGGGCCCCTTACCAGGCAGGGGGGTTTGAGGTGTTTTGAGGGTTTCTGGGGGAGTTTGTGCTTGAAGGAGGCTTTAGGGGTTTTGGGGGCTTTTAGGTGTTTTTCGGGGTTTTAGGGCTTTAGGGGTTTTGGGTTTCGGCTACGTTACCTGAAGCCAGAGCAAGAAAGGCCCCAGACCTACCCTTCAATCCCCAAAAATCACGAAGGGTTTAGGGCTTAGGGAAGTTTAGGGTTTAGGAGCGAGCTAAACCATAAGGGTTTAGGGTTTAGGGTCAGGGTAGGCCGAAACCCTCATCTACAACCCAGAGACTCTCCCCAAACACTGGTTTTATAGTCGCCCTCACTCTGCCTTGCGCTAGGAGACGGCCAGTGTCATGCAGCAACTCATCTCGCCGGCGCCTTAATTTGCTTTCAACCCACACCCTACCCCAGACCCTTACACCCTGGTTTGTTTGATTTCCGAGACTGAGCCGTGAGCTGCAAGGCTTCTCTTACCTGAGGAAGCTTCTTTTGCGTGTTTTTGGCGGGCTGCCTGTGCCTTGATGCTTCAATCCCAAAGGAGCTTCACATGCAAAGTCCTAAGGCTTAGGGTTCAGGGTTGAAACCTTACACAGGCCCTATATTCCGCAAAGCCTGGAAGCCACCCCTTTAAATCCTAAACCCTAACACCCTGACCCGAATCCCAGCCCCAAAACCCCAACTGCCCCCCCCCCCCCCCCCAAGCCCTTAAAAACTCATTACAAAAAAATCACCACAAAAGCACTCTAACCTGATTCGTTAACGCACCTACAAAAACCACATACAAACACTTAAAAGCAAAACTTAATAACACCCTACAAAAACACCCCTAAACTCCCTTATCCCCAAGGGCAGTGGAGTACATGCACAGCCGCCTCATCTGCCACCGGGACATAAAGCCGGAGCACGTGCCCTGGCTTTGAGGGCTTTAAGGTAGGGGGCTTCGGGTTGAGAGCGTCGGGGTGTTTAGATGTTTAGGGGTTGGGGCTTCGGGGTGTTTAGGGCTTAGGATGTTTAGGGTTTAGGGGGGTTTGGAGATTCCAGGGTTTGGGGGTTTGGGCTGTTGTTTGTGTTTTGGGCTCTTGGGCTTGTGGGGTTTTAGAGGGTTCAAAGAGGCTGCTTCCTGAAGCCGAGCCTAACCCGTGAACCCTGAGCGCGAAGCCCTCAACCCTGAACTGGCATCTCCCGCAAGCCCCTCCGACCCTTGAACACTTTTTTTTGCAACCCCTAAACCCTAAACCCTAAACCCTAAACCCTAAGCTCGAAGCCCTAAACCCTAAACCCTAAGCCCTAAGCCCGAAGTTCTAAGTTTTTAGATTGAAGCCCGAAGCCCTAAGCCCTAAGCCCTAAACCCTAAACCAGACCCTTGACCCTCAACCCTCAACCCTTAACCCTTAAACCCAAGCCCGAGCCCTGCTCTTCGCTTGACATGTCATGGTATTATTAAAGGCCTTTCAGGTGCAATAGTCTCATTGTGGCAGCGAGAGGCGAAGATACGGCCAGCAACAAGGCAATACCGAGGGTTCATCCTAGAATAAGATAAGGCCCCCCTTTGGAAATCTCGAAACTTTAACACCCGCCAAACACCTCCCGAAGAGCCCCAAAAGCTGCTACAAGCCTGACATCTGGGCCCCTTTTTGGGCCCGCCGTTTAAAAAACCAAACAAAACGGCACCCAGAAAATAAGGACCCCAAGAAGGGACCCCAAGAAGTGTGGCAGCTACCAGGTGCTGATGAAGCAGAAAGGGAGCCTTCTCCGAAGCCAGGTCAAAGCGTGCCCGCCCGGTTTGGGGTTTAGGGTTTGTGGGTTCAGGGTTTGTAGGGTTAAGGGTTTGGGGTTTAGGGTTTGGGGTTTAGGGTTTAGGGTTTGGGGTTTAAGGGCTTCGTCAGGTGCGAAGAGCAGCTCTGGCCCGATTGTGGAGGGCCATCCAACAACACCTGTCTCCCACCTCACGCCGTCCAAGGCAGCGAAGCCACCCGGACCGATTCCTTTTTGGGTTTAGGCCTAAACTCAAGTCAATTGCCGACTTCCAAAAGCACCTCTTCCGTCACCGATGGTACGCCCGGCCATTTCCCAAGGGGGTCCAGAGGGTGTCAGCATGTGGTGTGTAAGGTCGGGCTTGGCTAGGGGCTTTTGTAGGGTTTAGGGTGTGTTTGCAAAAATCTTTCTGTGAACACCTTAAGCAAGTCCGAAGCCTGAGTTGGTTGCCCCCAAACTATTTCAAAGAGAAGCCGAAAACCCCCGAAACCCCCAAGCCCCTCAGCTTACCTTAAGCCTCAAGTCTATACCCGGAGCCCCAGTGATGCCAGCTCATCGACTTCAAGTGTGCCTCGGAGTTTGCCAACCCTGGCTACGCCACCCACCCCAGCCGCAGGACTTTTCAGGGTTTTGGGGTCTCAGCCTAAACCCGCTCAACCCATAACCCCAAAACCTAAACCCTAAACCTGTAATTCCTAAACCCCTTCTTTTTGGGAGGGTTAAGAACCTTTCCGAAAATAGGGGGTTAGGGTTTAGGGTATCCTTTTTTTTGGGGTTCCTATAATAAGAATCAAAGTACTTTCGGCTATATTCGGGGTACCCCCCCCCCCCCTTTGCGAAAATGCACACGAAGAACCCCAAGAGGTTGCAAGTTGAGGGTCTGCTCCTGGGTGGGAACATGCCGAACTTAGTATGGGGTTCGGGTTTTTGGCTTAGGGCCTAGGGTTTGCGTTTATGGCGTTTTCCAGTCGGATCCTGGCCCTAGCGGTCAGGATGCCGGTGTTCTCTTGGTCGGAGGGCTGCGGGCTTGCATCGGCAGCGTTCGGGTTTCATGGCGGCTTGCAAGGCTGGTTGTGAATCGCTTCTTGTGCTTTTTGCGGAGCAGAGGAGCCTTTCTAAGCTCTGGAGAGCAGACTTCGAATGCGAGCGGCCCAAACCTCTGCGCTTGAACACCCCCAATATTTTGAGCCAAGTTCCTTGAAACCCTACACCTGCACCCTAAAGCCCTTCAACTCTCTTAAGCACCTCTCAGACAGAAGCTGCCAAAGCCCCAAACTCTTGCTCTCTAAGCCCTATACCCCAAGACCCCGAAGGCGCTCTGTTCGGAGCCTGTCCCAGGTCTTTTCGGACCGCACCGGCACTCCCTACTACTGTTCTCCTCAAGCCGGGTCCTCAGGGGTTTCCTAAACTGGGTTGTCCGAGGTTTTACCAAGGGGAGGGGGGGGGGAACAGGGCATGTCAAGGTTAGCCTCCCGAAGTTCCTTACCTCAGCCCTTAACCCAAACCCTCAACGCTCGCGCCCTGAAGCCCTGGAGCCCTTGAAACGACCCCGTTTCAGAGTTGAGGGGAAGTTTGTGGTTTGGGTCGTCTAGAGTTTTAGGTTGGGGAGGGGGGGAGGGATCCCTAAATCCCAAACCCTGAAAACCGATGGAAGTGACCCAATGATGCCTGTCAGGTGCATCAGGGCAAGTACACCGAATCCTGCGACATGTGGTGCGGTTGCCAGTGGGGAGGGGGGGGCGGGGGGCTTGATCTACTAGGGTTTAAGGGTTTAGGGTGCAAGTAGGCTCCTTGTAGTTCAGGGTACGATAAGAAGGGCCCAACATTTGTATCCCGCCGAAACCTTGCAATGGTCCTCTTGCTTGGTTGCTGTTCCGGAATTGGCAAGTTCCATGGTTTTCTTATCATGGTAACTTCTCAGGATCCACAGTTTTCTTATCATGGTACCTTAAAGTTCCTGAACCGTAACGCAGCTCGGGGCCCTTTTTTCCAGGGACTCTTTGCACAAGGAAGCCCCAGAAGTTAGAATAACCCCCGCGCTTGAAGGCTCATGGGTGTTTCTGAGTAGCTCATGAGTTGCATGCGACAAGTGAGACAATACCTGACTTTGTGTAGCCCGAAGGAAGCTACACCTATCCCTACTGTCAGCTTTGCCAACGGACTTTCAACGACTGGTGCTGGCGAGTTTTAAGCCTGGGCCAACGTTGGCTCTTAATCCCAGGTGCACTCAGGCATAATCGAGGACAACCCAAAATAACGTGGTTCTCATCACAGTTTTATGAAGATGGTGAAGAACATTCATTGCATCAGCCTCAGCTCGCTTTCAAAGGTCGGGTTCCTAGGTAGTCTTTTCTGATCACTACGTTCCAACCTTTACTTTACGCGTGGCACTTTGGGACTTCGCCCTCCTGTGATGTCTGCGTCCGGGCGTACATCACACGCACAGGCGGAGGAGGCGTGTGATGGGTCCTATGCGCGTGTATTGTGGGCACTTGAATCCTATCTTTCTCCTGCTCCCTTCTTGAGATCATTGGCCCACGGGCAATAGATGCTGTGCCAGAAATTGACGAAGATCTCTAAGCGGAAAGCTGCTGCATACATGTTTTGGGCACGAGTTCCGGCCTTCTGGCTGATGCCGTGTCTCAAAATGCCTCCATCGGGGGACTTGTCATTGTCCAATGGACATAGAGAAATTAACAGAGAAACATAGAGAATCTCATGGCATCAGATTTACCAGGTTCTAATGGTTCAATGAGATCAGTTGCGGTTTGCTGTAGTTTTTTTTTTTGGATGTTGTTGGCTCACATTACCTGTTTCTACCTCTTGCGAAGTGGTGCAGAGTACTTGTAATTTCACATGTTCACAGCCTTTCTTGCGATCGAGGATGTTTCTTACGGTTCTCGTGTTGCCTCTCGTGCTCAAACAAAGGGTTTGCAGCGTGGATTCCATCCAGAGCTGACTCCAGTGGTCGCCTGTTGTAGGTTTTGCGCAATGTTTGGCGTTGGACAGAACCTGTTCTACCAAGGGCAGTGCAATCCGAGTGCCAACTGGGGCATGCAGGGAAACTGGTTTTTCCCCCTCCATAGCAACGTGTATGACGGGCAACACGTCCAAGGAGGCGCGGAGACGGCGACAGTGCCTATGCAAATGAGCAGTCCTTCGATGCAGCCTTTGCATCACACAGGCTTCCAACCCGCACACATGACACCTATGCCGAACCCCCCCGGTGTCCCTGATGCTTCGCAAGCTTCGACAACAGTGCCTTTGCAAATGAGCAACCCATCCTTTCAACCAATGCATCATACAGGCTGCCAACCCACGCAACCGCCTATGCCAAGCCACTCTGGTTTCCCTGATGCTTCGCAAACTCCATCCCAGCCACACGCGTCAAGGGTCCAGCAAGCTGTTGATATGCTGTTGCTGCTTTCAGAAGCTGAAAGGACTGAGGTGTTGAAAGCTATGCCTTGCGCAACAGAAAAGGCTGGCGATTTTGACAGCACTGTGCGGTGTTTGATTAACTCCGTTGTCAGCCTTGACCATCTTGATGAGAATGATCTCAGAGTTGTCGCCGATTCGCTGATTGACTCGCTTGGTCGAGTGTGTCAGGGCGTAGACTTGCACCCATTTATCACACAGTCCATGCATCATGGCATCGAGGAGGGTCGAGCTGATCCAACAAAGATAGCCGATGCTGTGTTGTTGCATAACACTTTGAATGCACTCCTTTGGAAAGCGCCAAGCCACCTCAACCCCGATGACATCCAACGCATGGATCGGGGCAGTCCTGATAAAATTGCGAAATGCCTGGCGATCAACAAGCTCATGATTCAGAGGATTGTGGAGTTGCAGCCGACTGAATCGCGCAAGTTTTGGATTCGTGAAGGTGCCAAGCCCATAGCCACCAGCAGTAATGAAAGGGACTTCTTCTTCGGAGTAGTTCCTAAATTAAACCTGCAAGTGGCCAAGCCGGTTGTGCAAGAGTGCGTTGCTTGGATTGCTACCAACGTTCCTCAGCAGTACAAGAAGGGACAACATGAGGCTCCTGAAAAACGTAAAGCTCCAACGGTCTCGGAGCATGCATCCAGTGAGCCTGCGTCCAAACTGCCCAAGCGTGTTGACTTTGACTTTGGTGCCTACACTCTTGACAAGTTTGAGCATGATGCGTCTGCTTTGCCGCGTTCATTGCCTGGGACCACGCTTCTGTCAGTCAAAGAAGCCAGCAAAGAGCAACCCATTGATAGCAGCTCACCGCTGCACGCCGTTGCTGTCAAATTTGACACTGCCTTGGAAAAGTTGGGTGTTGAGGGTCAAATCCGTGAGTCCGTCTATGGTACTTTCAAGCTGGCCACACAAAATATTGGCTTGAAGTGTGACAAGCGCCAAGTGCATGAGCTTCGCAGATGGGTGGCACGTGCCCTTGCCATGAAGCACGACGCCGATGAGTGACTACATCGTCAAGGCGATGACGTTGCCACGCACGTCGCAGAGGCAACTCGACTCCCATCGCAAAGAAGGGCCCAATGGAGAAGCGTGTTGCGATCCATACTGTTCTTGCTAATTGAGTGCATGTGTTCCGTTGCCAGGAAGCTGGGTACTGCTGGCAACTGCAGTTTGTCAGCCTTGCTTGACTTGCGACTTGTGTCACTCCCGGTTGTGATTGAATACCTCTCATTGTCAACCTTTGATCATGACGTGAGCCTTGTTGCATACCTGAAGCGATTTCCAGGCGGCCTGTGGCCTCACTTGACGACAATTCCGTGTAATGCTCTATATGTTCTGTGGAGTCCACTGCACTCCCACGTGTATGCTGGGCGGACAGTTGACTTCAACCGCAGGCACACCGATCACACTTTCAGGATACACAATCCTGGAGCCACTGGCCAGATCCCTGCGTATTTTTTCTTCAGAGAAAAGGTGCACAGTGAACTGCCTGCTGTGGCGTCTTTCTTCATGCTGCCTGTTGTGGCCGTTGATGGTGGAGTGCATGAGGCGGTAGCAGCTGAGCGTGTTTTTCTTGGCAACTTTTGCTTCAAGCTGAACACTCCTCATGTTTATCGCCACCTCAGTCATGAAGCGCTTGAGTTGGTGAACCCGAGCTTGGCACGAAGGCGAAAGATCTTAGGACCTGCAGTGCCATTGAGGGCTCCGCAGTCTCACAGTCCTGACCAGGCCTTGTTACAGTGCCAACGCCCCATGGCAAGACATCTCAGGAAACAACGAGGTTTTAGAGCTGTTGGTATGCTTCGCCTACCGTCAAAGCCCCAGCCTTTCTCATCCGTTGGCCGCATTCTGTGTGCTTTGTGTTTCAATCGGCGTGACAAAGTTGCCAAACATGGTCTCCGCCTTCTGTTCCTTCTCAAGTCTCGTACCACCCTGGTGTACATCTTCCATCAGGTCCGTCGCTGGGCATCATCCAGCAACAGAAACAATGCTATGAGGTTTTTGCGCAAACGTGCCTGCCAACTCAAGCTGCAACTCCCTGTCAAACGTCTTGTGCTTGAGTTGCCGTGGTGTGGCACCCCGTTGCACTTTCGTAGCACTAAGCAGCTCATCCAAAAGTTCCTTGTCCGACTGTTCGCCATAGGGGCTTGCCAAGCTACCGTATTTTCTGACGGGCGAGCAAAGTGCCAGATTGTTTGGAAGCCGGCTCCTAGTATGCTAGATGTGGTGCGCTCCGCGCCAAAGTTCAACAATCATCTGGATGATGCGAACTTTTGCGCATGCTGTTGTCACGCTTTCCCCAAAGATCGATGGCCAAGATGCAAAGCCCTAGATGGTACTTATCACGTTTGCGTGCGTCAGAGTGAGCTCCCTGTGCCGAGTCATCTAGACTTTATACGCCGGCTGTCAGCACGCACCCGTGTGGTGCCAGGCAAGCGTTCCACGCTTCGTGATGTTCAGAGGGGTTTTTCCCGTACTGCCCGCGCACTGCTGGATCCCTGGTGCTGTGACACTGTCAAAGAGAAGCTAGAAGCCACTTCGAAGGAATTCTCACAGTTGTTGGCTGATAGTTGGCGTGTGTTTGATGCACGTTCTGATGCGCAGGGCCACCACGTACTCATGGCTGACGTGCTTCAAGTGAAAAGGCTTTGCGAGGGTCTCTTCATAGAGGCGCTCGATAAGAACACATCGGAGTTTGTATGCATGTGCCCACGCATGTACTTTCTGCAAGCTTGTGGTTTGTTCCAGCACCACCCGCCAGGCAACCTGTTGATGATTGGTGCTGCTTATAAGGTCTTGCGCCCCTTCAAAACACATGCAGGTAACAACAGCTCCTCCAAGCTTGGAGTGGAGTCAGACATGCTGCTAACAGTCAGGAACATTGACTCCGAAGCTGTAGACTTCGGTGAGTTCACTGCACGCAAGGTCGACCTCACTGATTGCTTGCAGCCAGTTGAGGGTACAAACTTCACTTACCTACGAAGTGATGAGAGCTGGTTGGACACAAAAGCCACTTCGATCCCAAATCTGCGTGAAACCCTGCAGCCAGCCTCACTCAACAAGCGGTTTAAACGTCGCTGGCTGACAGCTTTGGCAGGGCGTGATGAATCATGGGGAAAGGTCAGAGCTGTCCCCAAACACAAGAACCTTGCGATTGCTCGACCGCTGGGTGACCAGTCTTGCAATCCTTTGAGCTTGTTGTGCCGCCTCCTTGCTCGTTTCATTGACCTATGTCTCAAAAGCCTCCCGACGGATTCGCATTTTGACCGCCCCACTCACCAGTCGGTTATCGCCTCGATGGAAAAGTTTCGGGATAGACCTTTTGAACATCTGGGCTTGAGCACGAAGATGAATGAATTAAGCAACTACGGCACTCTCATCCTCTCACGGGATGTGGACAACGGATACATGCGAATCCAGCACCAGGAAGCCCAGGATGCCTGGCATTTCATCAGTTCTGCCATGCAGCAAATGGGCCGTCGGAGCGCGTGGGTTACGACCTCCCCAACTGCAAAACGCTCACTACACTCTCCTCATGGCTCTGCGTCGTGGACCAAACCGGCAGGGACCCAATGGGTTAAATTCGCCCTTGAGGACGTGGACCCTGTGTTGGCGTTCTTGTTCCGCCACATGCAGTTCTGCTTTGGAGCCGCTCGCGGGTGGCAAACCGAAGGCATCATGATGGGACAAGCTGCGGGTGGTGCAATTTTTCGACTGGTTCTCGTCGCTCATGAAATGAGGGCTTTGAGGTCTCAAACCTGGCTAGCGTACAAGGAGAACCTGAAAGACTGCTCCTTCTGTGGTATCCGCTTTGTTGACGACCTCAGGATTTTCATCCTGTATCCCCTCTGCTATGGTGAGGATTGGGCGGCAAAACGTGCTGAAGAAATTTTGATGTTTGTGTACCCTCCGCACCTTGTCATGAAGGATGATGCTGTCAACCCCTTTGTTGGGATGACGCTGCTGAGCATGCATGATTCGATCCATTGGCGCGCTCACTACAAACCTGTTGGCGAAGTTGTTGCTTACAGTCGGCGCTATCAACAAGCGCTGCTACCATGGTGCTCTTTCTCACCACCGGCGACATTTGAAGCGGTTCTCATGGGTGGTTTTGCGAGATGTAAACAATTGTCCAGCAACAGGGCATGTTTCCTACAATCTCTGAGAGACTTCATGGTGATGATCACTCGCCAAGCTGGTTACCCTGAAGGTTTTGTGACTGAAAAGCTGAAAATCTGGCTAAAGCACGTGTCGCATGACAGTACGCTGCTGAATGAGTTCCGAACCAACCTGCCAGTGATGAACGGCAATTATTGTGAGTCTTTTAAGAGGCCTCAAATCGTATTTGCAGTTGGGCGCCAAAGCCCTACATCTCTCTGAACTTTGATGTTACGACCGCCGCCCGTGGCAAAACAAATTCCACTCCGTCATATGCTTTCATGCTGATCTGCTTTGCTTGCGCATTTTGCATTCTCACGTGTCCTGTTAGTTTGTTTTGCTGGCTGGATTTCATTTTGTCAGGTCTGGTGCTGGCGAGTTTTAAGCCTGGGCCAACGTTGGCTCTTAATCCCAGGTGCACTCAGGCATAATCGAGGACAACCCAAAATAACGTGGTTCTCATCACAGTTTTATGAAGATGGTGAAGAACATTCATTGCATCAGCCTCAGCTCGCTTTCAAAGGTCGGGTTCCTAGGTAGTCTTTTCTGATCACTACGTTCCAACCTTTACTTTACGCGTGGCACTTTGGGACTTCGCCCTCCTGTGATGTCTGCGTCCGGGCGTACATCACACGCACAGGCGGAGGAGGCGTGTGATGGGTCCTATGCGCGTGTATTGTGGGCACTTGAATCCTATCTTTCTCCTGCTCCCTTCTTGAGATCATTGGCCCACGGGCAATAGATGCTGTGCCAGAAATTGGCGAAGATCTCTAAGCGGAAAGCTGCTGCATACACATAGCGGCAAGTGGATGAAGTACTCCCACCTTCAATGAGTGTTCCCACCCTGTGTTGGGCTCAGGGTGTTGTGGGTGCAAGAATCTCGTGTTCTCTGGGACTGCCCATCAATGGTTAAACTTCATGAGCCCTAAGCCCTAAGTCCTAAAGGTGCTGAGGATGCTGGTGTGCATGAGGGGCAGAGGTTTGTGGTGCGCAGCGCTCCGCTTGAGGGCCTCTAAGTTTAAGGCCTTAGCGGACTGTTAAGGTTGCGAATCTCGCTGGGGGATCTTTAGGGTTTTGGGAAGTTTTGAGCTTCAGGCCAAAAAACCCCTGAGCCCCCAAAACCCTAACCCTAAACCCTAAACCCCAAACCTTAAACCCCCAACCCCCAGACTTCTTCTGAACCCCTTTGAGCCCCCGAAGGGCTTGTGGGGTGACGGCCTACCTGATGCTCCTCGGCTATCCCGAGGAGGACAGGAGGCCGGGCTTTCTGGGGTTTTGTGCTTTTCATATGGCTTAGGGTTTCAGATCCGCTTTCATTTCGCCCGAACCTTGGCGAAGGGTTCTCGTCTTGGGAGTTTCGCGTGCGGGGTCTGATGCTGACCCGGACCTGTGCGTTTAGCGCTCACGAGCGTTGACTAGTGTTGGAACTGAAAAGGGTTCGCCAGCGTCAGAAACCGTTAGAAAGCGTTCGCGATCGTTCACTCGTGGCCAAACTCCTGGCTGTCGTCACTTTTGGAGGTCTTGGTGGGCCGCTCGCCTGTGGCTTGTTTTTGTCTTTTCTTAGTGGTCCACAACTTGGGGCCTAGGGTTTGGGGTTCAGGCCCAGAAGGACCCATCATTTCGGCCCCCTAGCCCTGGGTTAAGCACTTGAAGCATCTCCCCTGAAGCCCTTTTGAGCGTCCAGGCAGCTCGAATCCAGGGGGTCCACCAGAGGCATGGACGTGCCCGCTGCTGAGCGCCTTGCGGTTTAGGGTTGAGGGTTTTAGGAACCCTAATTCTTCAACCCTAAACCCTAAACCCTGAGTCCTTCAACCCTAAACCCGAAACCCAGGCTCAGTTGGGGATTG